AGTCGGCCTGGAGAGCTCTTGCAACCACTTGTCTGAGATTTGTCAAGCTTTTGCCAATGATTTGATGGTTAAGTGAAATGCTGGAATTGTGCAAGAAGTGAGAGGATTTCCAAGGGTTAAGGGTAACACTTCTGCTTTACAGTGCACTATTAAAAGCAAAAGTAACATATTTGCAAGGCAAGTAAATGTGCTTTGTCTGCCTCACCTTAACCTGCAGTTTGTTTCTTGTTTCTAAAAAACGTGAAGAGGTTTGCAAAAGGAATATGATGGTCTCGCTGTTTCTTTGTGCGCTGCGTGGCACTCTACTCTCTGTTGACTATGCTTGTCACCGAACCGTCTCTCTCTCTGCAGCCGCCAATCACCCGTCGGTCTGACTCTGCCATCTCCGTTCGCTCATTGCATTCGGAGTCCAACATGTCCCTGCGCTCAACATTCTCTCTCCATGAGGAAGAGGAGGAGCCAGTAGGTATTTGGGGGTTGGGGGGGTGGAGCTTTCCATAATGCATGATGTAGAACAAGAATATAAAACTTTTTTTGTAACGACCAAAGTAGAAATACAGCTGTTTGTATTTTTTTTACAAAGAAACTATTGGTGACAATTATTAAAAAATAAGCCTTCTGCCTCCCCCCCCCATCTTCCCAGAAGCAGAATGAAGACATCCTAATAAATTATTGCTCTGCTTAAAAGGAAAGCCAGGATGAGCCTAAACCCAAGACAAATGTGGCTCCCTGATGCAGCAGCTGATGGTTCTCGTCTCCAAAGGCATTCTTGGTCCATACTAGGCCCGTGTTTTTAGCTGCCCCTTGCAAGCATGCAGTGCTGCAGCCAGAAGGGGCTCTGAGAAAAGAAATCTATGGGGCTGGTGTTGCAGCCCAGTTGGTCCTGCTTCTCATGGTCCTTGTTCAGCTTACAGGGGCTCTGGACTGTAGCTTCAGTTATCCCTTGCTGTTGGTCATACTGGCTGTAATCGTAGATGAAATTAGAAGGGCCAAAAGGAAGTCACCCTTTTCTGGCATGATTCTTTTAACCATAAATCAGTGCCTTGCCACAATTCACAGCCCTGCAGAAAATCCACTCTGCGCCTGTCTAGAGCTTACAGCCAATGCCCCACTTTTCTCTCTCAGTCACAACACGTGTGTGAACATGCATGCATGTAGTTCAGTTCCTGAGTATGCTAACACTGGGCCTTTGGAAATTTGCAAAAATAGGCTGTGCGCTGTTTAAAATAATAACAAAACAAGTTCTAAAACTCTCCCCAAAATTTGGCAAAAAGGTGATATCATCAATGTGTATGACCCACTTTGTATCACATTTTCCTTCCCCACTTGGCTCTTGCCTCTCCCCAAAGGAAAAGGTTTCTTCCTGCCATCACAAAGTGTTATTTACCCCTGAGCGGAAGCTACCTTATCTTGACCACGTTGTGCAGGTTGTTTGAGGACCCGGGAGGCAGGGGCGGTTATCCCTGGGTGGAGAAGGAGACTAAGCATGCAGTCCTGTCAATACAGGAGAGGCAGCTGCTTTGGGTCCTGCAGGCAGAAGGGTCTACCAGGCTCTGTCTGGCTACCCACTCCTTGCCCCCTCGCAAAAGGATCCTCGGCCGCGCCAGTCTCTTCCCCTGCTAGCTGCTTCCGTCTTCTCCTTTCTCTCCTCCTCCCTGATTGTGAAGGAACAAGGGAGACATTTGGTATCTGGGCTGCAAAACTCTGGACTAATCCTAACTAGATAGCAGCAGAAAGATACAGAAGGTATCATTCTTCAGTGTCTTCTAATAGTCATCTGGATTTTTGCAGCCCAGATGAAAGGTTTTGCTTGGGCCCTAGAAAGCTCTGCTTACACCCTTGCCTGGCCCCTCTTTTCCCTGACCTTGATATGTTTAGCTGGGGGTCTGATGGGGTTGCACTTCGGCTGGCCTGAATGTGAGGTGCTGCTTTGCACCCTAAGAAAGAGGGGCCCTAATCTGCAGAGCTGTGATCAAATTGAAAGAGATGTAAGAAAGGCTTCTCTCTGCTGAGCGCAGAGAGATCGTGGGGAAGGCGGGTTGAGGCCAGCATACGCTCCTCTTCCTCTAACCAGGGTGAGCTCTCCACCGTTCACAACCTCGAGCTTCATTTTCTGCCATTAACTTCATACCCAAAACTCCCCTGCCTGGCAGAGCATTGCTGCATTTGAGCGCTTTCAGTTTCACTTTTGTGTTCTGGTTGGTTGCAGGAGCCTCTGGTGTTTGCCGAGCAGCCTTCTGTGAAACTCTGTTGCCAGTTGTGTTGCAGCGTGTTTAAAGATCCCGTGATCACGACCTGTGGGGTAAGGAGCCAAACCAGGCTGCGATTTCGGTCACACAATGAAATCGGTGCATGTTCGGGGATCAACTTAGGCCATCCAGTCCAACTCTCTGCTTAGGGCAGGAATCCAAACTAATGCTCCTTTGTTTGGTCAGCTGTAGAACCTTCCCAGGTATGGAAGCTGGACTAAGTAGCCTGTAATTCCCTGGATTCTTGCACCCCGCCCCTCCTTTCTCTCAGTCTCAGATGTCAGTCCTTTCCTTTCCATCCCCTGGAGGAGATAAAGGCAAAAAAGCCCTGCCTTTTCTTTGGCTCCCCTTTTTTCCTCAGTGGATTCTTTGCAGTTGTGCTTTCAACATCTCCTTTGTTGGAATCTCCAACCCATCTGGAGCTTCTTTATCCATTGGCTTCTCCTGCCATCCTCTGAGTTTCTTAAAATCCAGTTTTTGAAATCTAAGACGCATGTTTGACGATGCTCAGCTTTAGTTTCCCTTAAACTCAAGAATGTCAGCAAATGTCCCTTTCCCACAATCTGCCTACTACTTTCATTTTTTTGATTAAATCCTCCCCATTGATTACTATAATGTTAGGCATGGCTGAGTCTTCTATGCCTTCCTCTGCCCTCTTCCAGAGAAAGTTGTCAGCAGTACTAGTCAGGGATTTCCTAGAACAGTCCATGCTTGGCAGAGCTGGTCTCCTGACAGATGTCAGTGTATTTAAAGTCCCCATCACTACAGCTGAACCTGTGAAGCCCGATATGGCTTGGCACTTGGGTACTAGCATGACTACCTACTCCAAGTACTGGCAACCCTTCCAGTGTGTGCTTCCTGAGTAGGAGTGTTGAGGTCCTCTCTAACCTGTGAGATTTGGGGCATGGAAGTAAGGAAACAGCATTTCTCGGAGTACACCTCACTCTCGTCATCTTCCCTGATGGCCTTTAGAAGGGAATCAAAACAGAATTTGGCAGCCAGCATCACTAAGGCAGATATCAAGAGGGGCATTATTGTTGTAAAACATGTCATAGAATTGGGGTGTTTTTATTGTGGGATTTTCTGTAAATCTGTACAAGTATAAACAGAATCAGTACTATACACATGTTATAATAAATAAATACATTTCTTGTATTTATTTATTTAGACTCATGATCCTTGGGGACTTCAGCCTGTCTTCCTTGGGGGTGGAGTCAGAGGTGGCTTGGGAGTTCATGGCCACCATGACAGCCTTGGGCCTGACCCACGTCACTGTGGGCCCAACACATGACAGTGGTCATATGCTACATCTAGTTTTCTTGTTGGAGCAGTGGCAATGAGATCTGAAGTTGGGGGAGACTGCTGTCATTCCTTTGTCATGGTCAAATCACTCTCTGCTGGCCCTGGAGTTCTCCGCTCCTTCTCCCCACTGCAGGGAGCCTGGATCTACTCAGTCAGTCCAGCTCAGGTGACTGATGAACCCAGTAGGGTTCCAGAGGGAGCTTGGCTTGTCCCTGAAGGCCTGATGCATGGTCTGATTTAGGCCTTGTTCATTGCCTGGAATGAGAGGGCAGCAGCGGCTATGGATTAGATTGTGCCCGTGCGGCTTCTCATCAGTCTTAAAGGAAATCAACCCTGATTGCTTATTGGAAGGATTGATAATGAAGCTCAAGCTCAGATACTTTGGTCACCTAATGCGAAGAGAGGACTCTTTGGAAAAGACCCTGATGCTGGGAAAGATTGAAGGAAAAAGGAGACGAAGACGGCAGAGGATGAGATGGTTAGATAGCATCACTGAAGCAATGAGCATGAAACTGAGCAAACTCAGGGAGGCAGTGAAGGACAGGAAGGCCTGGAGTGATATGGTTCATGTGGTCATGAAGAGTCGAACGCGACTTAACGAC